CGGCTCAGGTCATGATCCTGGAGTCCCAGGATCGAGTCCCGCATCGGGCTCCCCGCTCAGCAGGGAGTCTGCTTCTCCCTCTGACCCTCCCCCCTTCTCATGTGCTCTCTCTCTCTCAAATAAATAAATAAAATCTTCAAAAAAAGAAAAAATTAAAAAAGAACAGTACAGAACAACATATGATATGACCAAAAAGATATATATCACACTCAAGGTTACCATAGAACTTTTTCTGGACTCTTAGATCATCCTGAAAATATCTTTCTTTGATTTCTCTAATGTCCTCTCTTGGTTCTCCTACTGGCTGGTCTTTCTCTGGCTTTTCCTCTTATTCTTTATTTCCCAAGAACATGCTCTCTGCTACTTTCCTTTTTCCATGTACTCTCTTGACTCTTCCTTCACATTCTCAAGCTTCAGAAACTACTCTGCAAGCGATTCCCAAATCTTAAGCCTTGGTAGCTCTCCAACTGCCAACCACATTCCTCCACTCAAACGCTAGCACCTCAGAGCAACATGTTCAAAATTAAATTAATCTTCCTTCTCAAATCTGTTCTTACTTCATGTTCTCTTTAATGACAACACCATTTTACTTCCCACAAATTCGAAACCTTAGAGTCCTCTTGGTTTCTTTCATTTCCCTTATTCTCCATTTCAGATTTATTTGTCCATTTGCTGACCACTGTTGTCTTCCTATCTTTAAATTATATTATTCTAATATAAGTTCCTTGCTACCTTCCCCCACCTACTCTACAATTCAAACTTTAGTCTTCCATACAGATGGCCAACAGACACACAAAAAGATGTTCAACATCACACTCATGAGGAATCACCTCATACCTGTCAGAGTGGTTAAAATCAACAACACAAGAAACAACAGGTGTTGGTGAGGATGTTGACTGGAACTGAACTGGAGCAGTCACTGTGGAAAACAGTATGGAGGTTCCTCACAAAGTTAAAAATAGAACTGACCTACAATCCAGTAATCACACTACTGGTTATTAACCCCAAAAATATAAAAACACTAATTCAAAGGAATACCTACCTTTCTAACTAACTTCTTACTTTGTCAGGAGTATATTCTAACCAAACTGTATACGTTCCTTACACATACCACCCTCACTAGCTGTCCAACCTCTGAGCCTCTGCTTATCCGTTTCCCCAGTCTGAAATAAGACGCAGCTTAAATGTCATTTCCTAAGAAGCCAGCTAGAAGTGAGAAGCCAATAAGATACGCACAGCGTATTTGCTGAAGTTCTCAGGCCACCTGAACTCATCTTGTACTTTAGCTATCTGAGGACACAAGGGCTAAATCCATTTCTAATGTGTATTTATATCCATAGGGAATCTGGCACAATTTCTAACCTTCGTGATACCTTCCGAAAACACTGAGTGCCTACTATGTGCTTGCTAGGCACTAGGGATGGATATTAACAGTGAACAAAACAAAATTCCTGGGTTTTATGTATGGCATTTATATTCCCATAGGAGAGCATCAGGTGGTGAGAGAAAAGTGCTCTGAAGAAAACAAAGCAGCATATGAGAAGAAAGTTGTGGGGCGCCTGGGTGGCTCAGT